TAATAAACTAAAAACTAATGGTATTCAGAATGATTGCAAACTTCACACGAACAGACTTGACTATTGGTGGTGATTTGAAAATTAAGATTCAGACTTTTGTCAGTTTCTGTTTTCCAATTTTTGTAAATCTTTGACCTCACAGTAATAATTTAACCAGGTCTGATTTAAAAGCATTTAGATTATTTACCTTGGCGTTTTGATCATTGATGATCTAGTTTAGAAGTAGGAGTGATGTCACACTGTGTGTGAGAGAAATCTTTCCTTAGTGGGGCAATATTATGTGTTTTCCAGCATAATCAAATAACTATATTACCTTCAACTGTTGTAAAAAAGCTGTATATATGTATATACATGTCAAATATGTCTTAAAAAAGATATTTTACTTCCTGATTTACGACTTGAAAATTGGATCTCTGTCTCTTTAAAAGCTCCTGCTCTTTCTGAAACTCCACCTTCAGGAAGTCATTTCAACATGGCTCCTCTATTAACTCTTTAGCAACATTTTTACCACTGAGATGTAGCTCCTGTAATCAGGTCAACAGTTCCTCCAGGTGTTTGCTAATTGCTGCTGGCTAGTCTGAAGGAGCTGAGTGGGGGAGGGCTGCTCTGTGAGGCGGAAGCTTTGAAACCTGAAAACTGCCGCTCTGAGGAGGAGCTTCGTCTTGAAGGCGGGGCTAGGTCCACCCAGGCATTTTGTACAACTGAATGGTTGCCATGGCGATTATGTAATTCCTCAAACATGCATGAAAGAGTCACAGCAACTCTCCACGTGTGTTTTTGATAAGGGGATAACATAACGACATGACATAAAACTGAAACATAGTTTTACTGTTTCAAACAAATAATTCAGACATTTCCCATTTTAATCGGTTTTTAGCATCCTATGCTAACTATTAGCACCAATGTTAGCATTCCTAACTGAACTAGAAATTTTCCCAGCAGGCTTCCATCAAGTGTTGAGGTGAATGGACTGCTGAGAAAACACGAGGTTAACTGACCCACTTGGCTCACTTCCTCTTGATAGTAGATTCTTTGAATGTGTGTCTAATTTGAATACATAACAGGATTTAACACACAGCGCAGACGTCGTTTATTATTTTGCTCATCATGTCTTATTCACGCCGCAGCGTCTGGGGCTCGCATATGCTCCAGAATGCTAATGTTTCTCTTTTGGTCCGTCTGATCTCAGCGTCTCGCTGCTGGGACTTAATCAGAGTCTCGGCTGACAAAGCATCACGTTGCTTAAGGCAGGGCTGTCCTCACAATCCTGCAGAGAGCGTTCTCATGACTGTGTCTGTGATGTTTCGCTGCAGGAATTGTTAAACAGACAGAGATGGGAGGGGATTGCATGGGAATGTGTCGGCTGGGGAGTGAGTTTTTTTAACACCAGGAGTGTTTAGGTTTCGGGAGGATTTGCTTGTAGATTGGTTAAAAAGAAAATATTGGGAAAAAAAGCTAAACTAAAATACGTTGGCACAACTAATATACTTTAAATTTAATGGCTCCAATTATTCAACCCCTTCCTGACAAAGCATCCATTTGTTGGAAGGAGCTGCTGCAAACTTTACAGCTTTCTTGAAAACTCCTCCAGGCATGGGCGGTCCTAGACGGGGACCAACCGGGGCCAATGCCCCAGTAGAACTGGTTCTGAACTCAAGAGAAAATACTAAATCAATTTGTTAAGACGACATGCATTGACACAGAAACCTTAACTAATTCGTTCCTTTTGATAAATCAGATTTTTTTACTTCCAAAATGAATAAAAAATGAAGGTGTGGCAGTTTTAACTTCAGCTTTAGAGCAGCATGTAGCCTCTGTGGCTCATTTAAAATTTTAAAAAAATATTTTTTTTTTTTTTTTTTTTTTTTTTTTTTTTTTATTCATTAATTTGTTCTGAATCCCCATGAAAAAGCAAACACTGTCTCCTGGTTTCTCCCAGAAGCTGGGAGTCTTCTGGGGAATAACTACATCAGCTTTTTACATGTAGACTTTAATTTTTTTGCCTGTTCTAATTTGGAAATTAGCTCAATTTCCCTTCGATTGGACAGAGACCATCTATGCACATCAGTTTCCAAGTCTTCCCAACTGGAAGTAGGTCCAGATTTTAATTAGGCCACTCTATTCCATCATTATGCTCTGATATAAATCAGGGTCAGGATTTTTTTAGTCCCTTTGCTTCTTCTAAATAATATTTTTTAGATGCCGTAAGGTAAACCTGTACAGAAGTTTCAACTCTTTCTTTAACAATCCTTCTCGTTCTCTATGTAACTCCATTAATCTTTTCCGTCTTCTGACCATTCGTCACACACTCTCCGCTTCCTAAAACGGTTCGATCCGGTAAACATATCATGTGTTAAACAAGCAGCAGCCTTCGTCTGGACCTCCATGAGGGGAAAACATCTGATACTGTTAAGAGATGATGAATATACTTGAACAGAGCTGTTCTAACAGGTTCCTCCGTTTTCAGGATTCGCTCCAAAGCCCCAAGCCGAATGCTAATGTGTGTGAGTTTGTTAAAAGACTCCTCAGCAGCAGAACGTGTCGTTCAGTCTGACTGGATGCTAGCAGACGTATTGATTCTGTTGATGAGTTGATGGTCAATCTATCGCCCTGTTGTTGCGTTTTTACTGGAGATTTGATTTGGCATTAAGTGGCAGACTGGCAGTTCCTCAGCTTACACTACAAAAACACAAAATCTAAAGTATTTTAATTTCTACTGCAAATACAGCTCTGGAAAAAACTAAAAGACCACTTAAAATCATTTGTTTTTCTGATTTTACTTTTTATAAGTTTATGTTTAAGTAAAATGAACGTTGTTCTTTTATTCTATGAACTACTGACAACATGTCACTGAAATTCTAAGCAAAAATGTTTTTATTTGCAGAAAATGAGAAATGGTCAAAATAACAAAAGAGATGCAATACCTTCAGACCTCAAATAATGCAAAGAAAACAATCATATTCATTTAAAAACAACAGTACTAATGTTTTAACTCAGGAAGAGTTCAGAAATCTATATTTGGTAGAATAACCAAATATTCTACCAATATTTTTCAATGTGGTCCAGTGCAGTGGTCTCTTCATTTTTTTCAAGAGCCGTATCTTAGTACACTTGAAATAAGAAAACTAACTTACAAGTAACCTTTCAGCAAGATATATTCTTAATATTGGCAGATTATAAACTGTCATGTTATAAGGGAAATAATCTGCTAATGGAACAGGTACTATTTACTTAAAACAAGCTCCTGTCTCTTGCTGAAAAGTTACTTGTAAGTTAGTTTTATTTTATTTCATGCATATTAAGAGATTTGCACAAGAAAGTAGACCAAAAATACTTGGTAAGATTTAGTGTTTTTGCAGTGTAGGGAAGTGTTGCATGATGTGAGTAAGAAATGGGTCTGGAAGTAGCAGACAGTCATGTTTTTGAGTAAAAATTTTTTTTAAATTGACAGGAAATTTGAAAATATCACAAGGTAATTGTGTGTTATTGGAAGACATTACTAACAATTCATATCCACTAACAATAAAGCCTTGCATATTACATTAAAAAAAAACTGAAATATATAAACAAACAATCCTTAGTCTGGCGGGGACTCAAGTACAGCCTGATGGCCCGCCAGGCTTATAAAACACGGGAGGAAACCCTGATGTTGTACGAAGCCGTGTGATTTAACTCATTTTCTTTGATGCTGTTTGTGCCGATGACCAGAGCGATAACATTTGAGGGTAATCTGGCTTGAATTGCCTGTGTTCTTTGAATTGCTTCCAACTGAATTTATGGATTTCTCACATTCTCCAAAGGATGAAATCCAAGTCATATCCTCTCTTACTTTCTTTCTCGCCGATCTCCATTGAGTCCCATAATTGCCAACTCTGCTTCCTCGCTGACCTTCCTCCCACCATGCCTGAGGTTCAGTTCATTGTCGCTAATTAACCTCAGCTGCTCTGTGATCTCAGCTGTTTGCCAACTAGAGCTGAACGTTGCACATGGACCATACGGTACAAGCAACACGGAGCGCTCTGCACTCCTCTGCAGACGGCCGCACAGGTAGGTTCACCTCCGTATGCTGGAAGACCGCAGACACGGACGCAGAAATGTCCAGGACGTGGAAGAGGCAGAGAGCTTGCGTTCATGTTTGGGACCCCTTCTTCCTGGTGAGTCTGGCCTGGCTCTAATTTCAGAGCGTTTATGGATGTAGCTACACGTAATATCGGGTCTCCAAGCTTTCTCTTGTCTTGGTTGAGAATGCTTCAATGAGTTGGAAGGAATATTGAGTCAAGGTGGCTTTGAATGACTTCACCTTTTTGGCAATTTCTCCACTCACCTTGCCGTTTCGGGACGTTCTACATCCATCTTAAATCTACGTGAGATCATCTATTAGGAACATTTTGTGCGATGTTCTACAGTCTACCTCAAAAACAAGTTTAGTTTTCCTCTATGTTGTAGCCAGCTGCAGTAGTACTGAAGTATTAATCAACCTATTATTGTACGGTTAGAGTGCAGCACAAAGAAATATGCTCCTCAGGGTTTTTGGTTGGAATGGGATACCATATCAGAGGAAACCAACCATTAGGACCATGTTAATGGATTTTAATGGATGATAAATTGTCCCAGAAGTTATTGCGACAAATGATAATATTGTTGCTTTGAGACCATTTTACAGAAATATAATGGAATAATAATATAAGAACACATTCTCAAATATCAATAAACTTTAAATTCTAATGAACATTGAACATTGGGACTGGAAGACATTTGAAATATCCAAAATAAATAAACAACAGAAACAGCAAGTAAAATGAACTATGAAAATTGTCCCTCAAAAATGGAGCTAGTTGAGACCAAACTGAAGAAGAAAAACGATAAATGATGAGCTCGTTATAATTTATCATTTGTTTAATTGATTTATTAAGCAGAGCCATTTATCCAATCAGGTTTCAGAAGGAGAAGATGAACTCTAACAAAACTTTGCACAAAAATATGAAATTAGTGAAAGGTGACAAACAAAACAAGCAGAAATGATGCATCTCTAGTTTCTAGAGTATTTGTAACCTGATCTGAACTCTGGTGTAGCAGAGTTGAAACTTTGAGAAATCTAAACAGTTCATAAAACAAGAGACCGCGACCTGACTGTGATGGCATCGAGCGTTTGGAGAGGCTGTGTTTTACCTCCCCAGAAACACACACACACACATGAACACACGTGAACACGCATGTGACGTTTCCCGTGGCGGCACGGAGACGCCGCGGTGCTCACTGGGTCAGAAGCAATAATCGTAGAGTGGTGCTGAGGAGAGAGACGAGTGCAGACTGTGATTGGCTCTTCACCCCCTCCTTCCCAACTCCTCTTCATCTCCCTGCGCTGCCTCGCTCCGCGTCTTCCCTCACAAAGCCCCTCACATTATGCGCCAAGTGAGCGCGCCGTCCCATACAATACCTCCTGAGGCATGATGGGAGAGGTTTCTATATAAAGACGGATGAAGCGAGGGGTGGGGGAGCGGATGGACAGTCGGTGAGGTCACACTCCGGGATGAATCGCCGAGGTTCAGTATCGACTGGAGCGCCAAGCTGAAGTTCAGAAACTGGATTGTTTCGGATGCTGTCGCCAACGGTGATGGAGGAAGAGGACGAGGTTCTGCAGGTGCTGGAGGTTGGAGAGGCAGTAGAAGAAGTAAAGGAGGTGATCATCAGCACCATAGAAGAAGAAATCCGTAGGAGCTCACCTCTAAACTCTAAAACGAGCCAGGTACGATTGACACGTCGGTTGGGCTAATCTGATTACCGCCGTAGCGACCGGATTACGCGCTGGCTGTTAATTTGCTGCCAACAACAGATGTTGGCTTTTAATTTTCAGAGTTGTTTTAGTTCCTAATGGAATCATCTGCATGATCTGGGATGCGTTTGCGCTCAGGCGTAAACTTTAAACGGCTCTGTTTACATGTGGCGCTCTTAGATCCAACGCTGCTGCTTTACGGGATGTTTATGAAAGCAGCCAGACTGGAAAGAAAACACAGGTGTCTCCTGATCACGACCCATAAACATATTTACAGAAAATTTAACAGGTTTTTATTTAATATTTTCCAGTATTTCTTGTCCCAACTCTCCAAGTTGGTTCAGTTCTCCTTTGTCGTGTTTTTTTCTTGTTTCCTTCCTTGTCCTGACAAGTTCCTGGCAGCCGCACACATCATCCACTGTGTTGAAGCTGCAGTGAGGAGGAGCTGGGGAATGCATGTTGCTTTATTTTTCACAGACACACACACCTTGTCAGCCTCCCAGGAGTAAACAGCGTTCCTGCACTGAACAACAGAAAACAGGCTTTTAGTGGATGCTTCATTTACTGTTACGGAGAATAGATGTTATTTATACTCCAGCGGAAAAAGAACCATCTAACCCTTCATACACATTGGTTTTTTAAAAAGATTTTCTTACATTATTGTGACTGTTATTTATGATTTGTGTGAAATAAAAACACAAACGCTTTAAGCGGGTGTCAAACTCATTTTCGTTTCGGACCGAATCACAGTCATTAAGGCTCTTAAAGGGCCGGTTGTGCCAGAGTGTATTGATAAAACCTTTTCACAAACTGTTAAAATATCAATGAATTCTTAAAATTAAGTAATATTATTGAACATCTTTCCAGTCCCTCCAGTATTTTGTCTTGATTTTGCGTGAATTTCCACAATAATTGTCCAGAAACTGGAGTGACTGATTGTTATAATTTTGCAATAAACAGAGAAAACTGCATTAATTTCATTTATGACATAATATTTAAGCACAGTTATTGTTCAAGCTCACCCAGATTAAAATCTGTAAATCTGCAGATCAACCGAGCAGAAAAAAATCACATAATTCCTAAAATAAATTGTGACAAAACTGTTTTTTTTTTAACTAAAAAATGAAAATTTTACCAAAATGTTGTTTAAAAAGTTGCTTTTCTTACAACATTTCTGAACAACTCATGTTTTAAACCTTGGCATGGTTTTTGATTTGAGCTTTTTAATGTAGCGTAAAGTTGGTTTAAATGAGTGTTTTAACGCTCAGCATCAAATTCTCCATATTGAAGCATTTAGTTTACAGTTTTTAGGGATTTTTATCAGACAAAGAACCTTTTGCATCTAATCTGCCGACTTCTGTTGTGCTTTTACTCTGACGTTGGTACATAGTCTCTTGTTTTTGTTACGGATGTTTGCCTGTCTGCTGGATTAGAGCCATTTTTTGTGCCTTTAGTTTGTTTAATTTGTCGATCCTGAGATCTAAATCAGCACTAAAGATATTCTGGTATGTAGTCGAACTTTTTCATTGAATTTAAGAAAGAAAGTTGAGACAAAGGTGGCATTCTGTCATATAGCATAGAAGTTTATTCTAATGATACATTTTTGTGTTTTAACATCATCTGATTATCGTTATATAACATTTTTTATGTTTAAAGGTTTAAAAGCCTTAAAAAGGCTCTTTAAGGCATCAGATTGTGTCATTAACTCTTTAAAAACCAGAATTTAAAACTGAAAACTGTTTGACTTTTCATGGCTGAAGCAACATCTTCACCTCTGTTTGAACTGTACTTATTTATCTAGGTCTTAATCTTCATATGATTAATGTTGAGTAAATCGGTGAGGCACATTCTCTCTCTTTCGTTTTTTAAAATCTTTTTATCCTTCCTTTCCTGTTGAATATTTTATTTAATTTCAGCTCCTTCCATAATACGAGCTGCTGGGCCAAAATCCTCACTGCAGCTGTAGAATAAGAGCAGATCTGACAGCTTCTGGGTAGCGGTGTGTGTGTTTTCACGATGCAGTGTGTGTGTGTGTGTGTGCGCGCGTGTGTGTGTGTGTGTGCAGAGGATTTCTATTTCTGTACTTCCCTGAATCAATTGTTTTTCTGTCTTTAATTGGCCGTCTTGTTATTGAACATCCACACCAAACCAACAAAAGAATGAATAAAATGAGCATTGAGGCAGGGCCGACCAAAGCCTTTCTGGGGCCCTGGGCAGATTTTCATTTGGGCCCCAAGTTGAGTAACTTGTATGAATATTTCTGGATTTTCTACCCACTTTTATCAACGTTTAATCAGTTTGTTATTGAAAGAAATTGATTTGCAAAAATTTTCTTTTGTCTGATGTAATTTTTTGTTACTTATATAAATTATTGTCATTTTTATCCCTAAAATACCAAATTTTTCACTTAACTTTATGTTTTAGTCCATTTTTGTCTTGCATATTCTGAAATAATTATTTGGTTTAAATTGCAGCATATAGTTAAGTTAAACAATGTTTAGACAACTTGACTTTTGTTAAATCAACTTCAGGAACTTTAATTTCTGAGTTAAAACCAAAACAATTTCCTTTTTGACTTAAATTGCATTTTGAAAGCAGCAGGTGGACTTTCAGTTTCAAGTCAGATGTTGTAGGTGGGAATTTTTTTGAGTTTTGAAAATGATTTATTTATCAAAACTGCAATGGAAACACTTTTTTTTTTTTTACTTTACAAGAGTCACAATATTAGCAGGCGAATGTTGTTGCCAACCATGAAAAAGAAAACAACAGGAAGTATTTGGAGGATGCCGTTTTTTAATCACTTATCATGTGAATAAACTTATTCATGCCGCGTTTCTTATTTGATAGAAACACAGCAATTGTGAAATAGTGGTTTTTCAACATTAGTGGAATATTGACCAAAATGTTTTTCCTGTTTTTAGGAGACAAATAGCCAACATGTTGCATTAATCTGGCTGATTGCTCTCTCGTATTGTTTTCTTCCTCAAACTCTCTCCTTCATATTTGACTCAGGCAGAAATAATTCATCTTTCTTTGCCTTGCAGCTGCAATTCCTCCCCATTTGTTGAATTCTATGAATAAATTGCATGTTTGGCTTCGGTTTTAATTGGGCTGAGGTTTGATTTAAAACGGCCGATGTCAGGAATGTGGTCCCATGTGAACTCTGACCCTGTGAACCCGGGTTCTGCATTCCAGAGCTTAGTTCAGCCCTCATGAAGTCGGTCGGTGGACATTTCTCTCTCTGGAGAAATGCGGACAGTGACAAGGAGATTTACAGCCGCAGGTGAAAAGCCAGATGAATCTGAGGTGAAGAGCCGACATGTCAGCAGCTCTGACTGATATTCTGCTGCACCTATAAATGGAATAAAATCCTCAAAACATTCACAAATCTCAGAAAACAAATATTTTTTAGTTTTTTTAATCATACAATCCACTGTGGGGTTTTGTTTCTCTCTTTCTGCAGGCGTAGAAGCAGACTTTTCTTGTTTTAACTTAACTTTAACTTCTTGATCCACCTCCAGTCCTTTCATAGAGCATCAAAGCAAACGCTGTAATGCTCCACTTGTGAAAGTAAATCTCAGAAGAACAGACCATACAGATGCAAATTAGCTTAAACTCTAAGTTTGTCTTCTATTTTTGTTATTTAAAGCAGAAACTGAGCAACAGAATCAGTTTCAGAGACTCAACTTGACATCATTTTACTTATCAATGTTGGAAAATTTGACTACAGTTTGTAGTTTGACACACAGGATTGTCCAGAAAGTTTACCCTTAATCTGGAATAATCTCTGATACATGTGTTTACAAACCAGAAATTCACCAGACACACACCTGCAGAGTTTGTTGAAGTTTCATACGGTTTTTTTTATTATTATTGAAAGGAACTGATTTGGAAAAATTTTCTTTTCCCCGATTTTATTTTTTGTTACTTATATACAGCATAGTCATTATTGTCAAATACCAAAATTTCCATTTACCTTTATATCTTGGTCTGTTTTTGTCTTGCTTATTGTGAAATAATTATTTGGTTTAAATTGCAGTATTAAGTTAAAATTCACAATTCAAGATTAATGAACTTAAAAAGCAATGTTTAGACGACTTTTCTCTTGCTAAATCAACTTTATGAACTTTAATTTCCTAGTTAAAACTAAAACAATTTTATTACAAAAAATCAGTAATATTTTTTTTTTGTCATAAGAAAATTACAAACTTTTTTTTTTTGGTAAAAGAAAAAAACTTTTTTGTTATGAAAATCTTTTTTTGGCCAATTTTTTTTTGTTGTTGAAAAATCTCATTTTTCAAAAACATTTTCTTTGAAAAATGAGATTTTTGATGAGATTTCTCTCTCATGAGCAGAGAAAATCTCATAAAAATCTGTTTCCTGCTCATGATTGTGATCTGCACTTTACAAAATCTTATATTCAAATGAAATTATGTTTATAGTACATATTGTGTCACGTCAGTGTTGTTTTTTCATTTAATGTTCTATGCTCAGCCTCCATTAGCCCGTGCTGCGGTTGCGGTGCAAAGCTTCCTTATCTCTGTTGTTTTTGCGTCGTTATCAGCGGATGCAGTCAGACTCAGACGTCAGCACATGGCCCACTTGGCAGCTCCTCACTTGTGTTTTCTTTTTCCACTTGAGCCACACTTCTTTCGTTCTTGTAGGCCTAAAATAGATAATGACATATTTTAACGTGCAGAAAATGCATTTTGATTTAAAATTGCTTCTTTAAGAGTCAATCAATTCCAATAGTTAATTGTTTTCTGTAGCTAAAATTGACTTAAATGATCTAAAAACAGTAAAATGTTGTATCTTTTACTTACAGTCATTATGTCTGACGATGAATTGTCCCAGAAATTACTGCGATAAATTATATAATATTATTTTGAGACCATTTTCAAGTAATGGTAATGGCATAAAAATTGAAGAACAGATTCTCAAAGATGAATAAATTTTAAGTTGTAATAAACATTTAACACTCAAATAACCAATCAAACACAAAAATCAACAACCGAAACTTTACATTTTGCTAAATGCTGTCATTACAAAAGCAACTCAGGTCTAGATTTAAAGGGACTCAGTGTTTCGGCTGTTTTACAGTTTTCTGGAAGTTTATGTAAGTAAACGAAACAACAAATAAGTCTCTGTAAGCGAAGTTATTGGGACTAAAGCACCAAACTGAAGACTTTCGTATCCAGTTAATTGATTAATTGATTTATTGATTCAGGATGATAACTGGGGGGAGACCACCACCGCCATCACCGGCACCTCGGAGCACAGCCTGTCCCAGGAGGACATCGTCCGCATCACCAAAGACCTGGAGGACAGCGTGGGGCTGGACTGCCGCCACTACGTCACCCGCTCCATCGCCGTGATCCTGGGCCTGCTGGTGTTCTTCACGCCGCTCGCCTTCCTCGTGCTGCCTCACATCCTCTGGCCGGAGAAGCTGCAGAGCTGCGGGACGGCCTGCGAGGGGCTCTTCATCTCCGTGGCCTTCAAGCTGCTCATCCTGCTGCTGGCGGTCTGGGCGCTCTTCTTCCGGCCGGCGCGGGCGGGCCTCCCGCGCGCCTTCGTCTTCAGGATCCTGCTGGCGGTGCTGGTGCTCCTCTTCGTCATCTCCTACTGGCTCTTCTACAGTGTCCGGATACTCGACTCACAAGTACGTGAAAAGACCTGCGGCTTTCTCTGCTGAAACGAAATAGTAGATCTGGAAATGGAGGGTATTCATCAGAGACATTTTAAGAGGTTTGATACGCTGCAGACATATTTATTTTTAATGCCGAGCAAAACACAGATTTCTGCTCCCTGCAGTGATGTGTTTACTGTGTGAGTCATAATTTTAAATCCCATTTGGTGGAGGTTTAAAAGGCTGCAGATGCTCTACATCTAGTCTTACACCACTTCTTCTTGTGCTGCATATTCAGAGATTGATTATCTGGTTAAAAATGAGCCATGTTTGTTCCCGTAGGACGAGAACTACCAGGGCATTGTGCAGTACGCGGTGTCCCTGGTGGACGCTCTGCTCTTCATCCACTACCTGGCCGTCGTCCTGCTGGAGCTCCGGCAGCTCCAGCCATGTTACTCCGTCTGTGTCACACGCGCCACGGACGGCGAGACGCGGCACTACAACCTGGGACAGCTCAGGTGAGGAGAACACCTGCGACGATTTCCTCTGCTTTTCTTCTCATTTAAGGGAAAACGATGACCAAACCAACCTGGCTCTATGAGAAAATATAATTTACACCCTTCTGATATTATAAAATAACTATAATTTGACTCAGTTTTATTCACCAGACTGTTTTCTTTCCAGACCTGTACAATCTAGAAATCACCTAAACAGAAGTGCTGCAATACGAAGTCGACTAAAAAATTTAAAAAACAAAACATTGTTTTCTGATCTAAAGAAATTCAAGAAGAGATGAGAAAGCATTAACATTTAGTAGTTTGGAAAGGTTACAGTGTTGGGCACCGCTAGCTAAAAAGCTAGTTGTGCTAACCTTAAACATTAGCTATGCTAAAGCTAACGTGCTAAGTGTAGCTAATGCTTAGTGCTAATTTGCATTAGTTACGCTAATGCAGTCTTGCATTCTCACTCATTAGCATTAGCATGCTAATGCTAGCTAGCAATAATGCTAATTTATATTAGCATTAGTCATATTCAAAGCACTGAATTCAACCATGTAGATAAGAGTACCAACAAAATGGCTCTCAATTTTTTATTTTTTTTTGCATTATGTAATTTACAGCCTTTGTTGTTTGTTCATGTATTAATTCGTTCATTTATTGTATACTTGCTACTTGCTTAACAGTATTTTTTTTAAAGAGAGAATATGAGGAGAGGAAACAGAACTGTCAAAATAAAAGCATGACTATAAACTACTTGAAGAATTCTTAGCAATCAATAACAAAAACCTCAACACAAATAAAAGTTCACAAAACTAAAATTATATTAGAGTTTATCTGGAACCTTTAATTTAGTTATTTGGGAGTTTGCAGTTAACCAAAACACAAAGTGAAAATCTATGCTAGTAGCAAATTAGCTGCTTTGGGACTCCTGTGAACAATCAGTGTTAAAGTTTAACAATTTTTAAATAAGATTATGCCATTATCTGAGAATAAAACATGCTCTTTTAAAGGAACGTTGCATTGTTCACTTATTAACATTCTGCGTATGCTCAGATAAAAAAAACAACACTATTTATCTGGTTCACATCCGTACAGGTTGGTTTGGATAGCTTTCTATGTGAGAATGTATTTTCTCAATCAGTGACTGACAAACCTGGAAACCTCAGGACTTTCTGAAACAACAAGACGGAGGAAGAGAAGTGTGCGAATATCGACGAGAAGGCAAAAACAAAAACATGTGAAGGAGACGAAGGCAGAATGAAACCCAGAAACTGGGACACCTCAAGTCAAAGATGGCTGAATATTCCACAGTGAGAGGAAGGATTTCATCGGGTTGAGCCTCAGAGACAAAATGAAAATGAATTTTGCAGTTCAGGATGAGGAGGGGAAGACTTCAGAGAGGAAGAAAGAGGAGAAAACACTGGAGGAAGTTAAAGGAGGGCTAAGAGAGAATAGAAAACAAGGGTTTAATAGTTAATGCAGGAGTCATGTTGAAGAATCCGGCAGAGTCGTGTTTGTTGATCTGAAGGAAAGCAAAACCGTGTTTATGTCAGCTCTACGTGAAAACAGCGTTTCTAGCTGAACGCAGCAGCTCTGGTTACCGGTTTCTCACACGCCTGTTGCTCATGGCTTACGATAAAACCTGATGGATTTATAGATGAAGCTTCTTTTCATGACGGCTACCAGAAATCTGACCCGAATTCTTCACAACTTAAAGCGAACATGCAGGTGCACTTCTCATGTTCCTCATTCGCTTTCGTCACATTATGAGCGTACAGCTTAGTGCAAAAACATTCATAGCTGTTGGAGATTCAAGTGTGAATATCTTAAATAAATAGCTTAGAAGTAGTTATTGTTTAGAGCCAATAAATCCTTAACATTGATGAAGAAGAACCTGTTCAAGTTTCAGATTATTTCATTGACAATATAGGAAAAATGTCTGGTTATTAGTGAAATAATCTGCCACTGAAACTAGAAATTTTTCAGCAATATTAAGGATTTATTGACTATTATTAAAACAATATGTTGCTGAAAAGTTACTGGTAAGTTAGTAAAATGCACCTCTCCATTGAAAACCTCCTGGTTTTTCCACCAAATATTGATTTCTGAACTGAGTTAAAACATCAGTATTGTTGTTTCTAAATGAATATGAACTTGTTTGAGGAAAGCGCTGCATCTGTTTCGTTATTTTTCTGCAAATAAATACAAATAAATTATTGCTTGTAATTTCGGAGACATGTTGTCAGTAGTTCATAGAATAAAAGAGCAATGTTAATTTTACTCAAACATATAGCTATAAAAAGTAAAATCAGAGAAACTGATCATTTCTAGTGGTCTCTTCATTTGTTCCAGAGCTGTATCTAAAATATTTGAACTAAAACCTAAACTACTCAGATTTTTCTCTTTGTCTGAAATTAAATCAGACTAACATTTTTGTTTTAAAACATTTGTTTTAGTGATTTTTTTTGGGCTCCTCTTTGCTGAACTGACACCGAACGCGACAGAAGGAGTGAGATTGTAACGTTTGTGATGCAGTCAATGAGCCGTCGCTGAAAGCAGAAAGTGGAAGCAGAAGGAGGACAGAGCGGGATAAAGAGCCTCCATCAGTGGGTCAGGGGTCACGCTGTTATCCTCGTCTGGGATAATAGGAAGCACATGCTGCAGGCTGGTGATATTAAGTTAGCAGACAAAAGGCTGGACACAAACCTCTGCATGGAGAGCGTGTTTAATATCTGGAACGGGATAAAGGCGTTAAGCAGTTAACTGGGATGGAAATTCCTCATCCGGAGCCGATTGCCACCGCTTCACAAATGCACCGTCATCTTTTGTGTCGTGTTTAAAGTTTCCACACCAGCCCACGAAGCAAAAGAGCAGGATTATCTCATTTCCGTTTGGAAAGGGTGGACCAGGGTTTCCTGTACTTAAAGGGGGCAAGAAAAGATCGAAAGTACCTCGCCTGATGGGAAAGAGCAGCAAAATGTGGAGCGTTTATAGAGGAACTGTTTGGTGCTCAAACGTTTTTATAAACCTGTTTATCAGTGGACAGCTAATGCACTAATAGCGGTGCATCGTTTAGCGCTTTTGATAACTTTGAAAATATTCAGCGCACTTGCATTCATTTTTCCGCATCAATTGTGAAGAGCTAATTTATTTATATTTACATATCAGTTGAATTTTTGGTTACCAAATCTTAGCAATTCTGTTTATTTTCAAGCTTTTATTTTGAAGTGTTTTTACTCCGCAGTTCTGTTTCCTCTTTATTTCAAACTTAAAGAAACCAAATAAAACAGAAAGCAGAAAACATAAAATAAACATAAATCTAATAATCTTAATTAAAGTTAGCGCTTTAGCGTTAGCATAACTTATGTCTATTATTTGTGCTTTAGGTTTAGTGCAGCTAACTTTTAGGTTACGGTTTCAAATACTACAATAACAAAAACTAGAACATTTAAACTAACAACGTTAACACAATTTACGGCTGTCTAAGTTTAGCTACTAATTATAAACTGCTGGCGTTACCAGTTTGAGGTGATTAACGGCGCTTCCTGGAACGCGAGGCGGCTTATTATATTATAAGAGGAGATGATTTATGGAGAATAACATGTGAAAACAGCCTGACTGTGTACAGTCGGTTTAATGGTCCTGGGCTGTGGAAGACAAGACCCGGCACGCAGCGATGCCGATCCAAGCTGCAGCTGCGACTCGTCTCTCATGACATCAAGTTTCACGTTTGAAAACATGGAGGGTCATCCTGTCATCTGGGCAGAGTCACAGCCGAGTGCAGTCAAATCTAAGAAGAAGAGCTTATTATTTGGAGGAGTTAATGACTTTTTGAGCCGCAGCTCACCTGCCGCCGACCTGTCAGGAAGTGCTGCGACGGCGACCTTCATAAAATAAATCCAGAGAAAATACATGAAGCGGTTTCCTGTTGGTCCTTCTCTTTGAAATGTCACAAAACATTTGGGAAATTCCCACAAAGCCATTAATTTTAGTGCTGCAGCAGCATTAATCCACTCTGAGCACGTCCAGGTTTTATCATGTTACAACCACAAACTAAATATTTGATACACGCCTCTTTATTTTAGTCTTTATAATAGATAAATATCAGTCAAGTTCATTTGTTTCAGCAACGAGGCGGTTCAAAGTGCTTTACATGATAAAAACACAAAAATCAACAATTCAAACGTTACGTTAGCTAAATCAACCTTTACACATCAAAATGTTTAAATAAATAAAAGTATATTCAGAACTAGTTCTTCCTTTAACTCCATTTTTGTAGAGAGCATAACTAACTACACTTTTTAGTAAAATGGTTGAAAATTACAAATTATTTTCCATCCACTTACACTGTAATGTTTTATTTTTGGCTAGTTTCTATTGGAAATATCTTATTACACTTGGAATAAGACAAAACTTACAAGTAACTTTTCATTGAGAAGCATTTCCCTGTTTTAAGTAAATAATTCCTTAAAATTGGGAAAGAAGTTCTAGTTCCATTATTTTGTTTATAACGAAACAGTTTTGCCTTTTTATAAGTGAAATAATCTGTTTGTAGTTGTTTACTGATGTGAAAAGGCTGAAGGAGTGTAAATACTTCCTAATTTGTTTTTCATGATTCCTCCATTAGAAGCAAATCTCTCCTTCATGCTCCCTGCTTTCTCTTCTTTGTGTGGGCGGCGCTTTAGTCCTCCAGAAATGCGTTTTTTGAGTCATATATATTTGAAAGTGAGCCAAAAATCTCCTCCATCTGTTATTTCGTCTTCCTCAGGAGCATTTTCAGACCTGCAGCAGGTTTCTAGTACCTTCCACTGAAAGGAAAATGTCTTGTGGCGTGTTTTCCTGTTTCCTTGTCCATCAGTCCGGAGCAGCTTTGGGCCTCAACGCCTCTCTGATTCTGCTTCCTCTTGTTTCCTCCAGCATTCAGCGGGCCGCCCTGGCCGTCATAGAGCACTACTACTGCGACTTCCCCATCCACAACCCGGCTCTGCTTTCTGCCTCCAAGTCCCGGGCGGCCAAGCACCTGGCCGGCCTCAAGGTCTACAACGTGGACGGTGAGTCGTCTGGAGCTTATCTGGGCTTTTTCTAATACTCCAGCACATCAGTGTCAAACCCAAGGCCAGTGGGCCGAATCTGGCCCGCCATGAGGTTTTATGTGGCCCACAGGGACAAGTAAACAGAACCTTGAAATGAGCCATTGTACGCTTAAATCGTGTTTTATCAATTAAATGAAAGCAGTTTTCAACAGAAGAGAATTAGGGCCACAGAATTTTTTTAATTATTTTTTCTCAGAATTTTGACTTTTATTTTCTCAGAATTTAGACTTTTTTCTCAGAATGTACCAGATTTATTCTGACTTTAATTTTCTAAGATCAAATGTCAGAATTTGGGGGTCAGGGGGGATTTGGGGAGAAAAACGTCTAAATTTTGAGGAAAAACTACAAAATTCTGAGAAGAAAATCTGAGAAAAAAAGTCAAAATTATGAGAGTAAAAAGTCAAAATTCTCTAAATAGAACTGTCAAGATAACAGCGTGCTTAAATATTATTTTACCAATCAATTCAAAGCTGTTTTTATCTGTTTACTGCCAAATTACATCAATCAGGTCCTCCAGTTTCTTGTGAATTATCATGGAAATTCACACAAAATTAGCAAATCTGTTGCACTTTTTTTTTTCGAACTAATGCATAATTGTGAGTTTATTGCAGATTTTTTGCAAAAGTTGTGAAAAAGATTGACTCTAATTGTTAATTAATTCCCACCTGGAGGTGGCAGTATTTCTACTAAACAGTTTCCTCTGACTTACTTTATGTGGACTGATAAAAAGTCACATTTACCATCATACATAAGGGCAAATATTTCTAAACTACTACCACAAACACTTTTTTATTGCAAAAAAAATCACTTAAACAATCATGAAATCCTGGAGTGACTAAAAATATGTTCAGTATTATTTAATTTTAAGACTTTATTTATATTTTAACAGGTTTTATCAATACATTCCGGCCCTTTTTGAACATTCATGATCTTGATTTAACACGTTTCTGTGCTTTATTTTTAAACACACTTATGCCGTTTTCTTCCCTCAGTAACAACTCCCACGCTGAACAGTGTTGCCAGCACCTTCTGTGATAAACTCACAGTTTTTGATGAAGAAAAAAAAATATTAATGAGCCACGAAATGAAGCAGAAAATCTGCCTTTTCAACCCCGCAGCTTGTATTAACTCGTTACGGGACATTTGGATGCTGGAAGGCAGAAATTGATCTCTTAATGCAACATAATTGTAAAATTGTGGAAAGTTGCATGAAGCCTGGATGATTTGTAGTTAATGTGCAAAAACTGCAAGCAGGCTGAGTCGATCTCCTTCATAATAACTTTATTTCTCCTCATTTGCCCCGACGCTAACCCCTTTAAGACGTCTTTGAGGCTAGACTGAAAGCCTACCTGTGGGACAGTAAGTATGCGGAGATGTTTCTGCTGCTCAAGCACACAGCACTCTTCTGTCTGCATGCCACAGGTTGAGGGAAAAGTTTCACGCTGGTGTCAGCTGGCAGGAATGTAACACAACCCCTCGATTAAATTATCACCCTCCCTGAGGCGTACTCAAGATTCATTCAGGCGCTTATGTTAGCTGCTCCAGTTAGCCACCTTAAGTCAGTAGACAGTTGTTGTTTCTCCCTCGAGTGTCACTATTCTTCATTTTTATTCTGCAGCAGCTGCTCAGAGGCTTCCTCTGCTTCTCTTTCTGCGGCGTTTTGAGAGAGAGAGAGACGATAATCTCTGCTTGATTAAATGTCGTTTCTAAGCATCCGAGCGACTTTAAGTGATTTTTACAATGTCTGACGAGCTTTTTCTGTGACTTCTCTTCAAGTCTGTTGATTTCTGCTGATTTCAGGTCCGGGGAACAATGCCTCAGCGGGAATCGCCCAGTCCCAGTCCAGAGCCATGATCGCGGCCGCAGCCCGGCGCCGCGACACCAGCCACAACGAGCTCTACTACGAAGAGGCCGAGCACGAGAGGCGCGTCCGCAAACGCAGGGCGCGGTGAGTTCGGAAGCCACGGAAATTAAATTTGTGCGTCAAAAACGAAGGAGAAAATTCTCTTTAATTAGAGAGCCATCATATCTCGCCGTCTGAAATTTGAAGGCAGGGTATTTTTATATAATTTAGGTTTCCTGATTGGAATCAAAAGAGGAAAGTTTGGTGGAGGGAAAACAAGCTCTCCCTCCACCTACGGAGACAGAGTTCGTTAGTCCAGCCATGGAGATTAAAGGATTTCTCAAACATGAATGAAAGAACCAATGCAAACTCCTGGGAATAACATCATAACATGATGTAAAGCTAAAAATAAATTGATATTACATAAAACTGCCCCTTTAAAATGAAGTCAGAGTTGGAAAGGTGTGCCATAGCTGTTCCTCATATGTTTGCTGTGCTTCCTCCCAGACTGGTGGTGGCAGTAGAAGAGGCCTTCACCCACATCAAGCGCATGCAGGAGGAGGAGCCGAAGAAGGCCCCGGGGGACGTGATGGACCCCCGAGAGGCGGCTCAAGCCATCTTCCCCTCCATGGCTCGTGCCCTGCAGAAGTACCTGAGGACCACCAAGCAGCAGCACTGCCACAGCATGGAGAGCATCCAGCAGCACCTGGCCTTCTGCATCACCAACAACCTGACGCCCAAGGTCAGCGCCCGACCTTCTGAGGGTCCAATCAGGATAGACATCACTGGACTCATGTGTTACAGGATCTACTGTTTTCTTTAATTTTCCTGACATTGTCAGCTAGTTATCAGTGTTGACCATTAGCAGTAAAGGACTGCATCCCTTTTTCTGTTATTTGTCACGTTCACATTTAAGACGTTGACAACTTGACAGCTAGCAGCTAGTCATCGTCGCTAACAGCTTTTAGCGGTATCTTGCGCGCTGCATCAGGTCCGTTACTCCTTCCTGCTTTGTGCCGTTTTCCATCCAGGCGTTCCTGGAGAGCTACCTGACGCCGGGGCCCACCCTGCAGTACGGCAAGGACCACTGGCTGGGCCGCCGCTGGACGCTGATCAGCGAGGCGTCGGTCACCAGTGGCCTGAAGGACGGAAGCATCTTCTTGCTCAAGTGTGTGGACTTCAGCCTGGTGGTGACGACCAGGAAGATCCCTTACGTCCAGATGTCGGAGGAATACATCGACCCCAAGTCTCACAAGTTCGTCCTGCGACTACAGTCTGAAACCTCGGTGTAGGACGCCAGCTATTTTCTGTTTTGTTTTTTTATCCCTCACCATGTCACGTTGCTTTCAAATGTTGTTAATTAGGGTTTGAAGTTTTTTATATGTACTTTTCTTTGTTTTTAATATATATGAATATATATATAAATGAATTTATATATCACGTCTGAAATTATTGCTATGTTAATGTTTGAGTTGGTGAAAAGAAGAATTGTTGCAGGATTTCGCTCACGGGTTTGATCGAGATTAGGTTGTGCACAATACTGTATGTCTGAGTATACAGTCCCTTTCAAAAGTATTAAAGGGGCAGTATGTTGTATTTCCAGGTACATGGAACCATTTTATAACACAATCAGGTAACTATGTCACCTTCAGTTGTTGTAAAAATGCTTTACATATCAAATATGATGTAAGAGAAATTGGACTTTGTAATTTAACTCTCTGAAATTGGGCCTCTGTATCTTTAAGAAACTCCTGATGTTTCTGAAACTCCGCCTTCAGGAAGTGATCACAACATTTCTCCTTTATTAACCCTTTAATACCGTTTTCATCAGTGTTTTCACTGAGAAGTGGCTCCTGTAATGAGCTCAGCAGTTCCACCAGGTGTTTGCTAATTGCTGCTGGCTAGTCTGAAGGAGCTGAGTGGGGGAGGAGTTTCGTATTGAAGGCAGAGCAAGGTCTAACCAGACGTTTGCACAGCTGAATGGTTACCAGGGAGATCAAAGGATTTCTCAAACATGCATGAAATTGTTATGAGGAAATAACATCAAAACATGATGTAAAGCTCAAAGACAATGTATTTTACATAATACTGCCACTTTAACTTTTCCACATTTTCAGCTGCAAACTTGGGATTTTATTTGATGAACCAACATAAATAGGGCATAGAAGGGAAATCATTTAATTCTGAAAAATATACTCCTAAATAGGGGGATGAGTAAAAGGGGCTGAAAATAAAAGCACACCACACTTTTCAGATTTTTATCTGTTAAAATCCTTTCCTTTCTCTGCACAGTTATGTCCTTCATGTTGGTTTAACACATAAAATCCTCGTTAATGTAAAAGTTTGCGGTGTTTATACTCTTGCAGGGCGCCGTTTGTCATGTTTGATGGTTTTGTTTTTTTTTTTGGTTTTTTTTTGAGAAACCGAAGCCAAACAAGTCTGGAAAAATTCACTCCAAAGTTCCCAACATAGACTCAGGACTGATGTCTTTGTTTGGAACTGGAAGACAGATATAAAGGAAACAGTTTTGGATTTAATCTGCAGTTCTCCAGGTGCATCATCATCATCATCAGCAGCAGCAGCAGCAGCCGCGGCGGGCTGGATAACCAGGAAGTCGTAACGAACTCGCGCCCAAAGTCGTGAACTCTTCCACAAAGGTTCAGCAATCCTCTCAGGGCGTTTGTGTCTGCCGCATCTGCCTGACATGACGAGACAGAGCTGCGAGTTCTGAAATAAAAAAATAACTACTGATTTTTGCAGAGCGACTCTGCGTCACGTAGCAGCACATTCTGTCAGTTTTACATCTGCTTTGCCCCTTTCAAGCAAAAGTTTCCAGACTTTAAATGACAGATCTTAATGTTTTTTTACACATTAAAAGCGTTTTTATAAAGAACTGGTTTTTATTGTGAATGAAAACGGGGGCAAAATGTAGCAGTCTTCTTGCTCCTGTAACATTTTGTCCAGTTAAAACTACAAACCAGAAAATTTTATTGGTATTTGATGTGATAAACAGAGGAAAATCTGAAAAGTGTGGCATGCACTTATTTTCCACCCCCTGACCGTTATCCCTCTACAAACTGAAAATTTTGCACATTCTGATTTGGATATTAGCTCAGTTTTCAATGGAAAGCTGCAGTTTGACTTATTCTGGACTTTGACTGGGCCATTCCAACAGCTGTGTGAAGCCGACACCCCACCCATGTCAAAAAATCCAGCAAATAGTCTCAGTGGTTAGTGCAGGTTTGTGCCGTTAAAATTTTCATTTGTGCAACTTTTGTTTTTGAAAAAACTAGCATATTAGCTATGGATTTTTTTTCTTCTATTTTTTCACCCGTTTGCTGCATAATCAGCAGAAAGTAAGTCAACAATGTGAATATAATTGTTCAGACCTCCTCCGAAAGCAAAACACAGTTGAACAGACATGTTGTACACGTTACGGTCACGCCTGCATGCCCTGTATTGGCAGGATTCAATTATTGTGGAGAGAGAGAGCTATATTAGTGAGAAAACATTGCTATCTTAAAACGTTGCTTGAAATGAGACAAATTTCTTCTTATTCCAAATCTTTATTGAAGTTCAAAACAAAAGAAGGTACACATTGTACAACAGCTGAAAATCTGAAGAATTTAAATGAAGTAGCCCACTTTGGTTTGTTTTGGACCAAGATGGAGGACGGTGATGTCATCGGCCAAAATTATAACTTTTAATATAAATAGTTAGATACACACAGCCAACACAAACCAAACATTACATAGACCCATGCAAGAGGTCTTAGTCTTCTTGCAAAGCTTCAGATACATACTATGGAGGACATAATGTGTAAGGGGAAATGGAAAAAGAAAATATATACATTACTTAACTGAAACTCATGTAAAGAAAAGGAAAAACTAAATGTATATTTTATGCTTTTATTTCTTATTATGTCAGTTTTGGTCCTCCATATTCAGCTACAACAAAATTATGAGTTTAATCTCAGAATTACAAGTTTTGTTCTCAAAACTTTAACCTCATTTATAATTGTTTCTCAAAGTTTTGACTAATTTCAGAGTTACAAATTTTTTTCTCAAAATTCTTACTTTAATCCCAGAATTATTTTTTTTCTGCAAATTCTGAATTTATCCTCAGAGTTTTGATTTTATCTCAGTATTACAACCAATTTTTTTGTGACTTTAATTTCAGAAGATTAAAGTCAGAATTCTTTTTTTTTCTGATTCTAAAAAGAATCTAATGATGAAAGAGAATTCAGGGTTTTATATCTATCAGAGTAACGAAAACTACACTTTACACTTTCCAGATTTTATTTTATTTTTTATTTTTGACTAAGAGGTGAATACATTTGCAGAGCAGTGTAAAACGTTTTCTCCCAGCTTTTGAGCTCAGCAGTGATTTCCATGTCAGCGCTTCTTATCGTTTCGTTTTATCGGAACCAGAATCGGCGGAGGCGGATCAGCAGGGTGGAACCGCCGTCCCAACTGGACCGTCTGGTTTTTCCTACCGCCTGGCGTCTTATAAACATCCAATCCTTCGAGGTCAGTCCCTTTAAGGAAGACTCAGACGGATTCATGCTTTTTTTTTGCCTGATAACAACAAAAATACTCCAATGTAAGCTAAAAAAATCCCTCCTGTTTGTCTTTCTATTCCTGCTGCACTTTGCAAAGTGACACAAATCACAGAGGTCAGGAATCATTGTAGCCTCTACTGCCCCCTGGTGGTTATAGTAGGATTGGCACAGGTGTATAAAGCTGATCAAAATCAAAACAAAATCTGCATGGTTTACCTTCTGATCGTAACATGGCGGTGCCTCCTGTTTTTACATTGCATTTATGTAAACACGCACATCTGTGTGTGTGTGTGTGTGTGTGTGTGTGTGTGTGTGTGTGTGTGTGTGCGTGCGTGCGTGTGTGTGTGTGTGTCCTGCCTTTTTCGTCCCCATCTGTCCCACTGTTGCCTGGTTACGGCCCTCTCTGTCCACGGTCAGGCTTCTGACTATGAATTTTCAGGTCCTTTTCAGTTGCATAACATTAATATTTGTTTTTAAAAAAAAAAAAAGTAAAAGAAGAAGAAATATTGATGATAATAAAACACTTTTTATGAACATTTGTAAAACTGCTGTGATGCCGCTTGTTATTTAGGATTGCAGCTTCGCTTCAGCCAGTTTTATTTTTTGTATTAAAAATTTCCAGTGTATGTTGGGCTGTTTTTGACTGGGAGACGATGTGTGGCAGAGTGGTGCTCGAATGTCCTGAAGCAGCAAACGCACCATCTGGACAGCTGCAGGTGCAGCCTGGAGTATTGTGATTGGCGCCTCCTATAGGACAAAATGACCCGAAGAAGCCACATAAAAAGCTTTTTAACGATAAAAACTCCCCCCTAAATTTAAGATCAAACAATATAAGGCCATTTTGGGAAATTAGGCACCTTTTTTAATTGAAGCTGAGGTGAAAACCTGCTGAGGGGGAGAAAAGGGGTCTGCCATGAAGAGGAAAACATGGTGGAAAGTCAGGTAAGCTAACTATGCTATTATGGGTTTCACCTTGCTGTCGGAAAAAGTCTGTTAGTTTCTTTACCAACAACCCAAGTATTATTATTATTTTTTTATTCTACTTTTCACAAACAACTATCAAAGTAGTTTGAAAGTGATCTGAGCGAAGTGCTAATTCTTTTACATGACGGTGACGGTGCTCGGCTCTGGAGAAACCGAACAACTCTGTACTCTGTTCGTAGATTTGTTTTCACTACATTAACTATTAAAACGTTATAGTAAAATGTGGTTTAATTTTGTGTGTGTGTGTGTGTGTGTGTGTGTGTGTGTGTGTGTGTTCAAGCTGTACCATCAAAAATGACTAGTAAGTAGCAATGAATAACCAAAGTGTTTTTCTCAGTAAACAACCTGTTGAGACCCATAGAAGTCAAACTAAGATTCAAATGTTGCTTAGATAGGATTTTGGTTCAGTGTCACCGATCTAATCTCTGCTACACCTTTAAAAAACATAAGGCTCTAAATAAAAACAAGTTTTAATAAGTAACTCCACTTAATAAAATTCCTAAAATATTGATTTATTGCAGTGGTTCTCAATACAAGCTATGTGTTATTTAAATTATGACTTAAGTTGCTTTAAACTTTTATTAAATTTTTTTTGGGTGGGGGTTTCATGTTAAAACCTATCAATATGTAGGAATTGAACATTTGGGAAGTATCATAACTTAAACTTAAGGGTCAGCACTTTTGTTCGACTCCCTCTAGTGGTCTGGAGCACTTCCGTTTTCAGCACTTTTTTTGCATCTTTTCTTTTGTTTGCTGCATTTCATTTGTGGTTGTAGTCTTTTTTGTTTGTCTCTTTTTTTCTTTGCGTCTCTTTTTTTGTTTGCTGCATTTCATTTGTTTCCATCTCTTTTTTTGTTTGCATATTTTCTCTGTTGCTGCACATTTGCCCCTGTCGGCCAC